GACACGGTAACAGATTCACCTGCAGACACGACTCAAGCGACTTACAAGCATGTTTGTTTCCTACCTGTTTGGAACATGTCAGCACTCCGTTTTTGTAGGGCCACCGTCTCACAAGAAAGAAACACACGTCAGACAGTGTTCGGAAAGAGTCTTTTGTGCGATGCAGTAGCACTGGCCACCGTTTGAGCTGACAGTGCTCTGGAAGCTCCGTGCTCGCTGGACCAGTCCTACGTCTACGTTTTGCCCCTGCGATCACGCTCCCACCCATACCCACCAGAGAGTTGCGATAATCTACGCTAGAGGTTTAAATGGCGCTAGTGTGCTGTGGCGAATTGAAGCAGACAGCAACCAGTCGAAAATTGACTTCCGGTCAATATTGCATTTTCTCCCTGCGCTCGATTATAAGAGCAAATATCCCGAGTAATTTGTAAGTACTATAAGTAGCTTGGAACCTTTCTCAGTCACGCGAATGAAATAATTGGTCAGTTATGGCGTTTTTATTTCAAATTCATCGTATTAAAAGCGATGCTAAAACGGCTTGTACATTTATGTGGTTATGTGCATGCCCTGTCGGACACAGCACGAACACGGCGTCGGCGCTTTCCAGTATGGGGGATACACGTGCCAAACGAAAGAAGGACATCTCTAAAACTAAGAGAGGCGGCAAGAACTGCGCAGCAACACTGGATCAGTAAATCCTAGTGCATGTACGACCAAAATATAATCAATGACACGTAATATAGTCAGATTTTCAATAAGTATAAGTACCGCATTATTCTGTCTGCTCTGCGAGGATGCTTGTTCTGCGTTCAAAACGTCACCCGCACGCTGGAAATTCTTGAAAACAAGTGCCTCATAAAAGCTGCCGGCATAGAAAATAATTAAAAGAGACACCTTTTATAGCTTAGGTACTTTATTATTTACGTTTTTAATGTTTTTAATCGCTCCTAAAGACTAAAGACGGGGTCATTTTGATATAGGGATAGGATTGGCATAATAGCAGTATATAAGCGTCACCGTAATGCTGGCGAACATTGAACACACTCTGTATTCCTTTCGATTGTTATTTTTCCTAGTATCGTTGATCCTTTTTACATACCCGCAGTGGAACAGAGGTTTGGGTCGGAAATATAGGGAAGTTAAACATCGTTCACCGACGAAGAAAAGATGCGCTAACTAAAGCAAGTACACTTTTACAATTTTGATCAAGGTACATAATAGAGAGTTTTAGTAGATCGTTCCGATACCTCCGATAGCCCCGATAACGATACTATGCATGCACAAGGGAGGCGGTGGCGGAGTATCGGGTATCGTTATCGGAGTCATGGGAACGATCTACTAAAACTCTCTACTATTCGGTACGAACCAAATAACAAAAAGTTTTCACGTCATTTTCCGGCGAAAAGAAAAAATGCACTCGCGGTTTCCCGTAGGAATGCGCAGGAGCACCGGCTAAAAATAAACTGGTTGCCTGTTTGCTTCAATTTTCCTCCCGAAAGTCGCATAGACACTAGCGTCAATTGAACCTCTAGCGTACATTATAATAACTCTGTGATACCCAGACGCAGAGAGCGATGTCAGGTGATGAAAGGGGAGGGGGGGGGGGGGCAATTGATTGGACTGTGTGTGTGACTCTTATCGCATTGTCAGCTTAGGGGTGAGAGCAGTAATGAAGGACTGGCCGTTTCTGCGCTTTTTTGCACCGTCGGATTTAGGCTGATGAAGGGAGGGGTGGAAGTATGTGATATGGCATACAAAAAAAAAACAAAAAAAAAACGCGAAAAATGACGAGTCTTTTTTTAGGGGCGAAGCTCCATAAGGTCTAGCCTTGTCCGTCCGTCCGTCCGTCCGTCCGTCCGGCCGGCGTCCGTGCTCACATAAAAAGGAAAAAAAAATGTTTGCGCAGTCGACACTCGACAGGATTCGAACCTGTGCGGGGAGACCCCAATGAATTTCTAGTCCATCGCCTTAACCACTCGGCCACACTGCGGGACGAGTAGGGGGCTCTGAGATGTGGTAGTAACTCAAGAGCTGGGGTTTCTGACATGGATGAAACGTTGCATGTAGCCGCTCAACGTCTATACAGGAGAGGGCGCTGCGGTCAAATGCGTATATAATCGCGTTAAACTTTGCATGCATTGGCTCAACGTTTACAGACGAGAGGGCGCTGCAGTCAAATGCTGAACTGCGTATATAACCACGATCCACACCGCAGATTCTCTTCCTGACGTGGACCGTTGGCTCAAATGCCGACGACCAGACTCGAGATTCTGCAAGGCAGAAGATCCTCCTCGCCATGTGGGGGAGGAGGAAGCAGGCAGCGGTGGACAGGGTAGAAGGGGGAGAGGAGGGAACGGGGTGGAAAGCGCGAACTGGGCGTCGGTCTTTAAGCGGTGGAGATGCATTCCCACGGCTTCTGGCGGATCCGAGCTGATCTACTAGAAGAACCACTGGCTCTGTATTTCACCGACCATAAAGCAGTAATAATGAAGTCGAAACGCAAGCCGGAACTCAGCACTACCTATGAGCAATAAAAAAAGATCAGCATCATCAGCACTACCTATGAACAATAAAATCAGTATCATCAGCACCACCAGAGCCTCGCCCCAATAAACGTCATTCACCACGTGGAGATACGGTCATTTTTTTTAAAGTTGTTAAGTTGTCTCGAGTCCAGAGACGTATGTGGTAGATCTAAATTCGCGTAAAAAACATATTGGGCTGTCGATGTTACTTACTATATTGAGCGTGCTCCAAAAAGAGAACTATTAGCGGCGAGATGTTTTGCTGGCGCCCTCCTATGGTTCCCTCTCGTGGCGTCATTACCATGCAAACAACGAGTAAGATGGTGTTTGTAATTGGCATGGCGGAAGCCTGAAGTGATTGCGCTCTCAAAGCAACACTGCCAACACCGTCAAAATTAAAGTTCTCCCGTTCCTTTTATTTCTGTCGATGAGAAATCCTTTGCTGACGTCATAGTCAGCATTCGGCCAATCGTGGAAGGCCGACCACTGCGACGCTTTCGATCGCGCACGTCACCAATAAGCACACTTGCCTTCCCATCGCGTTCTGAAAGAGAGCCCACGCAAATAGCAACATAATTAGAAAAACTTTCAGCCTTTCTACTCTGGTGAAGAAGGAAGACCAGCGAAGCTGTACTGTGGTGGGAACGAAGTAATGGGCGGCCGCAAGTCGGCAAGCCAGAGTGGCAAGGCTCGAAAGGTTGCCGCCATCTATGAGCGACGGCGGCAACCAGACAATCGGCAAGCCGGTTGTCTGGTTGCCGCCGTCGTTCATAGATGGCGGTAACTGTCCAGAGTTCTGTGTCATCATTCGTTTGCTGACGAACACCGATCCTGGGGAAACTAACATTTAACAACTCCGCTAAAAAAACAAAAAAACAAGGAGCAATTTATTATCGGTTTGTGTGTTTGCAGTTCAAGATATATCGAGCATTCGTTACGTGCTGCCTCCATCAATCTCGTGTCTTTCACCAAATGTCATTCAATTTGTATCTTTCGAAAAAAAAAAAAAACTTCAAAGAAAAAGAAATAAGCCCAAATAGCAAACGTTGAACATTGAAACAATACTATAATTCAATAAAGGCGAGATCTTTGTCACTTTATATTCGCGTATAGTACGTTAGTATATATTATTTACCTTATCTTTTTATCCTTCTGCCCCACGATGTCGAAGGCATCTTCCTATTAAAAGAAATGAACTGAAAGCGCGCCAAATAATGATCAATATACACACCGACATCCTAAGACACGTAGGGCGTGGTTTATCATGGTCACACACATCATCATCATCATCATCATTTATTAAACGTTGAAGGCCCTTACGGGCATTACGCTTCTTACTGATCGTTCTTTGGAATCCTTATCGCTATTCCAGAAATCTCATTGGCCGAGAAGCGATAATGTGCACGGGACACGCCACGCAATTCTTAAGTTGTCGCTGACTATAGAAGAAATTAGAAAGCCACAAGAAGGTTAATTTCGCGCTCAGGGGTCAGGCAAATGTTCTTCAAGTGTTAAACAAAGGAGGAAACTGCAGCGCGACCGACACATACGCATCTTGGTCGTGTTCACCCATAGGAGAAAATGGCTGCGACGACATCATTCAATTCTTATAATCACTGCGACCGCCGGAATAATATACTCTCTTCCTTTCGTCCTCGCTTAGTTCTTGAATAATTTAAGGCACAGCAATTCTATTGGCCATCTTGCCTGGCCATCCTGCAAGCGATGCAAACCGAATGGAGAGAAACGATCAAAGTGCCCCATCTTTAAGTGACACATTTCGTCTTGTTGTAAAACAACAGCAAAGTAACCCTAGTCAAATATTTTCGATTAATTTCATCGAGGAAGGTTCGGTATCCGTCGCCTGCGTCCAGGTTGTTATTAAATATTCCACTTTAATTTATGCTAAGCGCAACGTCATGGTGCTCGTTATTTCTCCGCACGAGTTCCATCATCGCTTAACCAATCACGTAAAGGGAAGGCCCAGTGACTTCCGCTTTTTGTATATGTGTTCCTGCCTTCGACTCCGCTCGAACATATGATGAAACGAAGTAGAGAGGGAGAGAAAATAGATTATCTTTCTGGAGAGATTGGCAGACAGCCTTAAAAACGGCACCGGCTCCTCCATGACTTGAAAGTGCACAGATAATTATGATGGTGGAAGAGGGGCGAGGTATACGCGGAAGAAAAGTTATGAGAAAAGGGAATTTCACAAATGTGACACAGTTACAGCAAACACAACGCGGGTGGCTATACAGTTTAACAAAAGCCTTTATCAAAAGGTACCGCACAATACAAGGGATATATAGAAAAGTTACTCTTCAGCACTGTAGACCCTTTCGTTGATTGTCTGTTGCGAATACACATGTATGACTTCTCTCACACACTGCACACTATTGCGTTCACTCACCAATGTTCAGGAACATACACATTAGCGCCTAATAGTTTAATGTGAGTTCCTTTCTTCTCCAGAGTATGGCGCAAGTGGCCGCCTTACTGGTCCTGCTACTCCTGTGGGTGGCCTGGACGCACGCAGCGCCTCCTCCTGCGCCGGCTTCGACCAGGCCACGTCGCGGTGCCCTGGAGGAACTACGGTCTTCGATCCGGTGGGAGTACGGTGGCTGGAGGCCCATCATGCCCGGAAGCCCCTTCTTCTTCGTCAAGACGAGTCGGGCCGTGCCGCTGGACAGCATCGCGTCGGCGTCGGCCCTGACACCGGTCAGGCTGCCGGCTAAGGAGGGCACCAGCGAGGACTCCAAGGTCAGGAGAACTGGTGCCGTGGCGTGATTGGTAACCGCGGAACTTCGCCATGATTTGCATTATGGTGCCTGGAACGCGTTTGAGACTTTAGCGTGCCGCCCAGGCATCCAAACTGGTCCCAAAGTGGCAACAAATGACGTCACTGTCAAAAGCCGGGGTGCCATGCTGTCGGATGTCCTAGCGGTTGGCGCTACAAGTCCCGGCAAAAAGTAGGAGCGAACGCGAATGTCGCCATTGTCGCGGCGTACCAGCTCCTAACTGCCGAAACTTCCGTGAACTGTGATGCTTAATGGCGACCTGCAGAGGAACAGGCGACACCGCCAGGATCGCGGCTGGCGACAACGTGACGCTTTTATGACGTCATTAGGCGGAAATCGAGGCACCACTTTTTCGGGCGCTGTAGACGCACCAGTCGGAGTCAAGTTCCAGGCACTATAATTTACGTGGAAAAAGTTTACAGTGGTACAACGTCTCGAACTCAGCTAATGAGTTTATTTACAACACCACCAAATCGGTTTGTTCCTACTAATTGTTTCTGCCCCTGTAAACTTTTTTCTTCCGCCTCGGTCTCGGGCTGATATCCCTACAGGGTAAACTTCCACCAGCTCACATGCACTTGCATGTTCTCAAAGTTTGAGCACCAACTCGCCCGACAAGCAGCATTGTGCTCGCTAAAGCCGCGATCCCAGCGCTAATACTTCATAGAAGAGACAGTGTGAGGAACACTGTCTGGGGCTTTTCATTGTATGACGGTTACATTGGTCATGCAAGAACTGTCTGCGGACATGTTCGAAGCGTGCATGAAGCAAAGGTGCTTCTAAGATGCTTGTGGCGTGTCCGCACGTAATTGTATCACTCAGAGCGCAGCGAAACGAGAGTGCACGACTATGATTGGGTAGAACAGGGGAAGAGCGCAAGACTGGGTGGGTACGATTGTTCGAAGTCCGATTCAATGTCCTACGGTCACGTCCGTGTAAACCCAGCGAATTACGGATTGAGGATTTGTGTAGGGACATTGGAAACAAGGTCTTCAGATGGGGGCTCGGCAGGCAAGTGTCATTGGGACTGATCCTTGATGTAGAACTATAGTCCGTTGTAACTCAAGAAGGTAGGGTGAGGGAAAGGAAGGCCGGGGAGGAAGAATCAGACGGAACCCTGGAGAGGAGAGAGGGAAACCACCTTGTCTCTTTAGCGTTCCGTCTGTTTCCCCCTCCCCGACCTTCCTATCCCTCGCCCTACCTTCTTGAGTTGTAACGGACAACAAGCCTCTGCCACAAACCTCTGGTAGATTTCTCCTCTCCACACACCTCCTCTCCAGCGTTCGCTCTGATAAAGTGAAAAGCGTGGAAGGATTTGTGGGGGAGGCTTGACCTTTTCTTAAAGGGGAACTCCGGCGATATTTTGAGCAACCCCAACTAACCATATATTCGAAATCGCCGTCCGTTACTCTTTTCGGTATGCTATTTAGTATCGCGAAATTCAGAATAGTTTTTGTGAAATCGGCAAATGAAAACGACGCCAAAACGAAGATTCGAATATACCCGCGCTTTTCATTGCCCTGACGTCACGGTTGGGCTGGATTGCAGTTCGAGCAGGCAGTCTAAATATGAACTATGCTGAGCATTTGTATCGTGCTGCTGCGCGGGGGCTGGAGCGACCTTCCAAAGCATTCATTTGACACCATGAAACTGTTTGTAATCAGATGTGAACAAAGTCTACAGCCCAAAGAGTGAACTCCTACCCAATCATGACGTCACTTTTTCAATGTTGCCCGTAGAGCCTTTCACTTTGAAAAACACGATGAGGTCCAAAATTGTAAATTCTGTAACTGCACGAAAAAACGTTATTTTGTCCAAATATTTGGGTTACTAGTTCAGCGATGTTTGTTGGAGTGTCTAGCAAGCTTTTAGGCAAATCGGGGACTATGAAGAAAACGGCGGAGTACCCCTTTAAAGGCCAACGAGCATCTAAAAAGGAGTAAATTTGTTTCTCAGTTCCTTCTTTTCCTTAGAGAAAGAGGGGGACCCTCCTCCTTTCTACTGGGAGTCGCTCAGGGACCCGCTCCTGTGGGGTGGAGGGGGAAAGAAGAGTGCGACAGGGAGTGGAGGGAAGGAAACCGGTTTTCTGCCCGGGAGGAGGCGATTCTGCAGATCTGCCTTTAACGTACAACAGATCTTTCTAAGACGATAGAAAATATTGTAGCCGAACATTGTGTAATATTGAGCAAGATTCTGTAACCATCTTCTGAACTTATGCTCACAATGCAATAAAGACCAAATGACCACTCCAATAACGGTCTGAAGGTGATGTGTGGTGTGCGGCCGACCTCTTTCCTATCCAAGACAGTTCGGCTGGGCGCCCTTGCCGCATGTCCGCTTCCCTGAATGCTTGAATTTTGTTCCAAACGTGCCTGGATAAACTCGTAGATATACCGGTAAGATAAACTCCTGTGCTGCAGAAGGGTTTGGATTTGGGCTAGTTGGTTAACATATTTAGGGGTTAAAAGCGCTCTGTGGTGTGTGTCTCTCCTGTGCTGCGTGGGCTGCCATTCAGTAGATAGAATATAGGCAACTAAACAAAATCATACTTGATTAAATTCCTTTGAATGCGTAATTAACTTACAATTATAAATATTTTACTCCAAAAGTAGTTAATTACAATTAAAATTACTCGAACACAAAAAAATTAATTAATTGCAATGATTAACTACATTACAAAAGTAATGTAATTACTTCGCAACTACATAATTTTTTTAGAGCTACCAGTATTTGGCGATGTTAATGTGATGGTGTTTCTCTGCCCTGAAATGTTGTCGATTCCTTGCGTGACCGTTGACGAATTATTGAACGGGATTTTACATTCGTCATACCTTGTGCCTTTGTTTCGCCCAAGTGGTTACTCTCGCTTTATGTGAGGCATATTTATGTTAGGCGGGGCATCTTCTTTGTGTTATGCGGGACATCTTCCGTGCCCCTAAGCGAGTGCTGTGGCTTTGACGGTTGCTCATCTCTGTACATCCACGGTGGGCGTCCTGGTGCAGTTTCAGTGTTTTCAAAGCTCCCAAACTGCACCACGACAATGAGGTGGAAGTTAGTTCCGCCTGTCGGTGACTCTACGGAACAAAGCTCCATCATGACAAAATAATAATAAAAGAAAACGGTTGCATTTGTAATTTAAAATGTGACATTACTGAGGCTTAACTGTAGCTCAACTACAACTACAATTAATTTCACTCAAAGTTATAAATTACAATTACAAATTACTCAGAAAATATTTAAGATTAAAATAATTTAATCAATGTAATCTAATTACTTTTCAAGTATAAAAAAATGTAAATGTATAGACCAGAACGTGGCTCTGACGTGACACCACTGCGGTGGTGCTTATGTCGCCACGGCACATGTGCAGAAGATTCACTTCGTGGAAATCTGGTTATTGCGCACGTGCAGTGCCATCACCTGGTACGACCAACGCGGACTTGCTTGTAAGCAGCGTCTCATTCTATAAGCCAGTACTTTTTTTTTGTGCTAAGCTTATTTTGTTTCTACAGGAAGACCTCAAGGCGGAGGCATCCAGCGCGTCGGAACGAGTCGCTTCCGAGTCCGTCTCCCTCGCGCGCCACGTCCCTGTGGGCCTGCCTCCTGTGGGCGGCATCCCAGGCTGCTGCGACTTTCAGCCGGTGCTGTACGTCAAGTCGCAACCGGGCCCCGTCGTACTCGGGCAGAGCTCCAACGCTGCCGCTTACCTGGCCAGACCGGAGTCCAACATGGCTGACGATGACAGCAGCTACCAGAAGGACGACGAGAAGGCGGGCTTTCAAGAGGACCTCAAGCCGAGCAGTTCACAGATCGTGCACGGCAGCCCCATCGGCGACGAACGACCGCAGCTTCCCCACCAACTGCTCCAGGATATTCCGGACGGCGCTGCCCACGGGCTCGCTCAGATGGGTCCATTGGTACACTCGGGAACGGCCCTGGAGAACGTGCTCAGCAAACTGCCGGAGTCCATCCATCCTGTGCTTCAGGGACAGGGAGAGCACATCATGTCCGCGCTGTCGGGACTCGATGGAAGCCTACAACCGAGCAACATGGAGCAGTTGCTACAACACGTACACGCGTCTGGCGGTGTCGTACCCGACGTGGAACGCCTAATCGCTAGCGTCATGAGCGCTCATCACGGAGGAAAACACGGAGGTCAAGGAGGCCACCAAGGGTACGGTGGCTTTGACGGACAAGAACAACAGGGGCCCCATGACAACCATCCAACGGCGCCTCCATTCCACCCTCGGCCCGACAAGAACATCTTCCGCTGGTACCCAAAACCCAGGGCAAAGAGTCAGCCTACATCCAAGCCTCCGACATACAAGGAAACGCCCAAGAGACCGTCGTTACATCAGCAGCATCTGGAAGAGCAGCGGCAGCGTCACGCTCATCAGCAAGTTATGGGAGCTTCTCCGCTTCACATGGCTCTTGTGCAAGGCCCTCTTCATTCAATGATGCTTCACAATCATCTTCAGCAGCTGGAGGCACCCCCGCTGGCACATCATTACGGTGTGCTAGACGGTGACGTGCTGCAAGCAGACACTCAACACCACTTCGTAACCGCGAGGCCGTACGAATCAACTAACCAAAGGCACAACCAACCGCATAATCGAAATCCAGATCAACAACAGCAGTCGCTTCAGCAACACCACCAGCAGCAGCAATCTCATCGCCAACAACCAAACCAGCAGCAGCCTCATTATCAACACCAGCACCAGCAACAGACTTCCCACCCCCAACAACATCACCAAGAAGCTCTCCAACAACAGCAGCCCCAACAGCAACATCACCATCAAGAACAGCATCAGCAGCAGCATCACCAAGAACAGCATCAGCAGCAACATCAACAGCAGCCTCATCACCAAGATCAGCAACAGCACCAACAACTCCAGTTTCCTCGAATTCAAGAGCACACAATCAACGCAGAGATAGTAAGGGGCAGGCCGCAGGAGGACTACGACCCACGACAACCGCCACGAATCCACGTCGAGGACGTTCCGGCAGACGTACTTGCCACCGGCATTCATCCCAACGGTCACCCGATCCGCGTGGATGGCATCAATCTCAACATCATCGCTCCGTCGCACCCCGATCCCGCTCAATCCCGGTTTCCCTCCCGACGACCCGAGCCACCACGACCGCCACCTCCACCGCCTCAGCCGTTCTTCACGCATTTCCACAGGCCCGAGGACGTGGCGAGCGCTCCTTTCTTCCAAGACCAGTTTCAGCCTCAGCAGCATCAGCCCCAGCCCCAGCCACAACAGCAACCGCTGCAACAACAGCCGCAGAGCCAGGAACATTCGCAGAACCGGGATACAAACCTACAGAACCACCAACATGGCAACGGCACCGATTACACCGATCACGAAGACCAGTTTCAAGACTACGGGCAGTCTGAATACCAGGATAACCAAGACAGCAACCAAAAGAATAAACAGGATCAGAAGGAACGCGACCCGGAGTCCCAGGACAGCAAGAAGCACTTCCATGGACAGCTTCCCGATCCGCAGAAGTTGGTACAGAGCAAGCAGGAACCGAACGACCGAGAGCAAGCATCAGGTTCCCAGCATGAGGATGCTGAATATGAGCAGGAAGCCGAGGACAGTGCTGAGACACCGGCTGCTCAGTCGGCTGAAGGGAGTCAAGCGGAAAGCGAGGAGGTGCAGCAGGAACGCCCGAAGGAAAAGAAAGGTCAAAGAGGTGCGATCCATTTCCACCCTATCCAGACGCAAAAGGCGCAGAAAGAAGAAGAGAAGGCACAACTTTACCACGCCTACTATGCTCCGGCGCAGCACAAGCCGCCTCCGGGATACGTCAGGATGACTGTGGACGAGTTCAACAAGCTCTTCAAGGACGCCGAAATCCAGTTCATCGGTTCCGAGTCAGACCTCAACAAGAAGTTGGCGGGCAAGGTCCCGTCTACCAAGCTTCAGCTTGCCCAGTCGGACAGCAAGGAGGATTCCACGGTCAAGATTGAAACGGTCGGCGAGGACAAGAAGACCAGCGTGAGGACATCGGTGTCCGTGAGCACCAGCTCGAGTAGTAGTGACGGCGCTCACAACTTCCACTCCGTCATTCAGCCCAGGGAGAACGCGGCCAGGGCCACTGGTGACGGTGGAGAGCCCACCGAACTGACCACGCACAGGTCGGAGAAGAGCTCGAGTAACAAGCCTGTTTCGGAAAACAGGGATGGTGCCAAGGGTGCCCACAACCTATTCGGAGCCAGGCTCAAGACTCCCAAGTCGGGTCTGCTGAAACAGGCGTCTTGATGCTGGACGGGTCCAATGTGCGACACCACGAACCAGAACGAACAGACAAACCTGTCCGACACTCTCCAAAAACATTAGGGAATGAACGAACGAGAAAACGTACCAGTTACGGACGATATAAACCAACGCTGCGAGCGAAGCGAAGCGGACAGCCACTTGAAGTACACGATATCGCTCAGGGCAGTACAAGCGCGCAAGGATAGAGACCACATTATGACGACGAAGAGTGCGCTTGTTCTTGGAGAAGAGTGATTCGTCGTCCCCGTTACTCACGGAGTCTACCACAAAAATGTAAACGATGTCGTCAAAAGGCAAGAAGTCGCATAGTGAATTCCCTTCATTCTGCAATGACATCTTGCGACGAAAGAAACTAAAAAATACAACAACAAAAAACAACACCGGCATCGGAAAGCTATCCTCACCAACGACTTCTGTCGTCGTTGTCGCACGATTGTTGTCAGCGTGAAAATTTTATTTATTGTAACTCGAAAGAGGAACTAACTGGCTGGAGAGAGAGAAACAAATCAGTACAGAAAACTAGTGTGAATGAGCGGGATTGAATGGAATAGACCGATCTCACTATAGGCGTTCCACGCATGTGTGACGCTACCATAACTGTAGTCAGGCTCATGGGAGGCAGGCGCCAGTTCATGAGACAGCTCGTGCCGTCTCGTGCTCTGCTCGCACAGGCTCTCAGCGCGGTTGTCGCGCGTGCAGAATGACTACAGTTCCCACGATGCATGGCGGCAGCGGTGGCGTACTAAAACTGGCTGTGAGATCGGTCTATTGCCGGGCACCCTTGGTGAACGCGCGAGTGAATGTTCCTTGATGATGAACTGTCGATGCTTCGATGGGTCTCTTTGACGTTGTACATAGTGTAATACAAGTTGACCTAGTAAACCTATTATTTTTTTTAACGTCTCGTTTCATCTTTCTTCGGCAAGTGATGATAATTATGCGGATATTGGAGCCGCCAATTCTCTCGCTCCTCGTTTTTTTTTTAATCGCACTCACGACGGTCACACAGGAGGAACGCTGCGAAGGTACGTACGGATTATATTGCAGCGTTTAGTTTGGGCATGGTTCTGTGTAATAAATCGTCGTCTATTTCACCCACTAAAAAGAAAAAAAAATCTATCTTTCTTTACTCTGGGACGAGTGCAATTCGAGTGCATGAAACTCTCGCAAGATATCGTTCAAGTAGGCGAACAGCGTGGTACAAAAAGGCTAGTGAAAATGCAGCAGCACACAGCATAATACGTATATTGGCTCTTCGTAGGATTGTATTATGTTCATCGCACATTTCCAGAAAAGGTGTTGTAAATACGGTTTTCTAAAATAATAATGGCATTGTTCCACGCATAATACTCGTGTAAAATAACCTAAAAAAAATCGTTTTTTTTTTTTTTTTTTTTGGGGGGGGGGGGGTGGAGAGATGGTATTAGACCTGTGTTATGGCAGCTAAACTGAGAACCGTGCATGAATTCCAGATTTAAATTGAGGCTTCCTCGTGTTACGCTTTCTAAATACTAGTTCACACGCGACACACATGAACCACATACATATATAGAACAAAAATACGTGTGACGCGAAGCACCCAGAGGCACCAGTATCCTGACGACGGCTCCTCCGTGTTACATTCCCGACACTCGAACGACAATGATTTAGTCGGGACCACCTCAGCAGTGAGTAAGGTCACAGGTAGGTTGTTTCTTTTTTCTCAGCCCCCAATACTTGAAATTCAACATAATCTCTGAAAGTTCATGAACTTCATCTCCCAGTGAAACGCATTGGCGCATGCGCTAATTATTCCATCCTATCATAAAACAACCGCACTAGAGCAATTTCAAGCGGGACTGTTGTCGCTTCCCAGGTAACAGTCTCTTATTGCGCTCTCCTTAATCCTTAGACCCTTCGAGCGAATGAGAGGTTCTCAAGCGGTATTAAAAATAAGGGTGTGCTCAAAGGGTCTACAGCTGAAACGATAATAGCAAGTTGTCGGAGCATAATTTCAACATCCAAAAGGACATCGCCAAATGAACGAACCCATTTTCATATTTATTAATCACGTGACACCTAGCAGACCCAGATTCAGTCTTAAAATGTTGAGGGTAGTTCACGATTGCTTGGAAGGGATGCATCCCGATGTCAATTTTCCCCATTGTCACGCAGTTACCTCAAAACGCCGGTTTCCGCACTCGGAATGTTTTTATTCTTACCGAGTCTGCCCATCATATGAGTCCACAGCGAATACCGCAGGTACGCGCGTGCTGAGGAGAGTTCTACCAAAAAAGGGTAAGAGGAAGGGTGAATACCTGTTCCTTCAAAGTGCAGCGGGGGCAACAACGAGCCGATAGCCCCAAGAAACCACGGAAGCACAACGTCACGGCTCTCTGCATCTCTCTTTCGATGTGATATGTTCGTGGCCAACGCAATCAGACGCGGAAAGTGTACCGTACCAACGCGCTTTTAGTTGCGTGCGTTTGCGTGTCTTTTAGCCTTTTGACTGCGCTCTGAACTGCGAATGAACCGAGTGTAAAAGTGCCTTTTACACTATCATGGGACAATCATCGTATGGCGGCGAAGACAAGAAGGCAAAAAAAAAAAAAAAAAAATAAAAAAAAGAACAGACAGGTGTGCGGATACCGTTTCAATCGAATGACGCAGAGTCATCTCTAGCTTTAACGTTGCGAAGAAACCCGGTTGTCGTTGTGAAGGTTAAAAACGACGCAGCGCTATTTGATTCAAACCGGGATATTCTGACTCCTCTAAAATGTATTTATCTTTTGTAGTGTGCTTTGATGGGCTAGTTGGTTCATGACTAAATGGAACTCGTGTTGTCCTGTTCCTTCTGTCCTATGTTCCGCGCTGTTCCATTTAATCTTTTGTAGGAGTGGGAGAATACCGGTCCTAATCGAATAGCACTTTTTTCTTTCACGGTCGAAAGAAAAACCACGACAACCGGTTTTATTAAAGGGGTATCCACACGAAGGAGAACTCCGCGGACGTTTCGATCTGGGTGAGCATCGTACCGGCGCGCGGTCGTATATCAGTACTGCCTGGTGCAAGTTAACGACCCCAGGCTGGCGGGTGTACTGCACTGGCTAAATTTCTCATCTAGCTACCAAGGTAGAGTTTCCAACTGCCTACCAATCTACCAAGAGAATTCCTCATTAAAGCCAGCTGTAATGTAACGCTAAGCGCTGTGACAAGCTAGTTCGTGACGACCAGGCCGCCCTGCAGTGCTAATTCATGTGTTCACTGGCTCCGAGCCTGGCGCAAGTGAAACCACCGGAAGTTCTATGCTTGTCCCGAAAGTGGGGCGTACGCTGGGCTTCTTGCATTTAGTAGATATTTTGGTCCATGCTTTTTTGTGTCTTTGATTGGGTTTTAATACTCCCGTTCTGGTTTAAATCTCGAGAAAAAGGCTTTCTAACGTGAAACATACGCACACTTGATAAACTAGAATCTAAAAATTTTCACATCGAATGGCTTTCCAGGAGACTTCTCGGGTTCGAATGCACTGTTACTCCTAGGGGTGTCGCGAACCGGCCGCGGTTCGAGTTCGACTTGGTTCGATTTTCTCGAACTTTTAGTGGAAAGTTCGACGAACCTTGTATTGAGGTTCGACTCGTGTGCGCATGCGCGACAGGCTAGCCAGTTGGCTTCGGATTGGATTGTGACGGCTAAGAGATGAATTAAGTGTAGCGCTGATTGGCTATTTCAACCAATAAAGTACTTAAAATTAAGTTATTAACTTCTTCAGTGATTAGAATTAGTCTCTTTTAATTGCAGCTGTTCACAAAATAAAATAACCCTTTGCATAAAATAAAAAAAATTCTCCAAACCTAGTCATGCTTCTATCAAGGTCTGGCCACACTATCCACAAAGTCGAACCGGTCTAATCTGGTGAAAAGTTCGAAGGTTCGTCGAACCGGTTCGACCCAGTCGAACCCCGAAAGTTCGACCAAAAAATCTGGTTCGACAAAAGTTCGCGACACCCCTGGTTACTCCACAACAAGCAGGCTCTCTTGGGATGATAAGAAACCCAGCGGCTTGAACGCCGTTCGAGCCAGCACTCGCGACTTGAAAAGCCTATCAAGCGCTCACTTCCGGAACAAGCCGCTTACTTCCGGTGGCTTCATACCTGTCTGCTCAAAGCGCTATTCAGCCCCGTATAGTAGACATCAGTGATCAGTAGCGTAACCGCTCATTCGTAAAGCCCTTCATGTTTTAAAAGTAGCGCAAGGTGCGTCGGTGCAACAGCTAGGCATGTGCAACATGCAGCCCTTGGGAAGATCATGGCGGCACAGCGCAGCACTGAGCTTGATTTCAGACGCCATGTTCTTCCGAGAAGTGGCGCGCGGCACGTGTCTCGAGCATTTCCACAACAATGAATGGCGACTCTTTTCCCAGGATAGAGGGGCTTTACTCATGCGGTGACACCAGTGACACCCGCGACGTACGGTGACACACGGAACATCAACCCCCGCCCTCGCCCACAAGCTCCACTTTGCTTTCATCTGCACCAATACCATTACATCCTCACTAAACGCGGTGCCGCGGGCCTTCATGGTATGGGCGACTTGTCTTACTGCAACACGGCGGCTATCGTGAGCTATAATAAATATCAATCAATCATTAGCAATATTACCCGCATACACAATGTGCACCAGTGCTAAGGCTGCAGTGATTCCAGTACCTCCTCTAACTTCCGCAAACGTATCTGCTAGGCCGTTTTAGCAAACGCAGACTGCGTTAACGTTGCGTCCTCCACACTGCGCATGCGCCATACGTACGTACTGCGGCGAGCCTTGCGTAGTAGCGGTAGTAGCGGTCCCCTGCGTGCCACCTCGTTGCTCGCGTCGCGCACGGGAGAGCGCGAGACTAGTCCAGTTTGAAAAATAGCGGCGGTGAGGCAAACCAGCGGAAGTGCTACGCGCATTGTACCGGTTCGCTTTACCATTGAAGATGACATCAACCTCCTCAAAGAAGTCAAC